ATTGTGTTCTAATCAGGTAGAATACAAGTGAGAATACAATAATTCCTTGCTATAGAAAAGATGCAATGACAACGATGAATAAGAGTTTTTTAATGAATGAGATCTAACTGGAAGCCTAATACATATACTGGAAGATCTACTTTGGAGATCATACAAATAGAAATCTAGTATTTTATTAAATTCACTGAAGAAATAAGTGACTAAAATGCATCAAGACCAACATTCTCCTATGAAACTAGAATTGATGAGTAATATCGTTTTCCTTATTCATAATATGTAGATATAACTTTAAAAAATAGGGTAGAAGAGGTAGATTGTGTGGAGCTCTTGTTATGGAATGTTTTGTATGCAGTTTTGGGCAGAAGCCTCAAGTTATGATAGCGGAGGGTTAGAAATATGACCCTTTATGTTTAATTTTCTTCCTGAATATTATTTAATAATAGGTCTCATTCTGGAGTTTAGCAGTTGGAATATAGCAGGGCAAACGATAAGCTTCAACTATTCCAGCTTTAACAGATAAAAGTAGTATGATTAAAGAATACCAGTAATTCAGATATGCCAAATAAATGCCTAAATGATAGAAAGCACTGAAGTCAGTAGCTCTATTTCTGTATCGTATTCAACCTCCTTTGAAGAGTCTAGACAGATCTCATTTGGGGGCTTTTATGTGTTCTTTCTGTTAATTGAAGTCTTTCTGTCATAAATTTAATCATGTGATTTTTTTTCCTCTTCCTTAACCTTCCTCTGTGTTCATACTAAGATTACATTTATGAGCAGGGGATAATAATGGGTTCTGACTACTAGCAAAGCTGTCCCTTAGCAAACAGAAATAAGTCTACCGCAACATGACTTTGAAACGACTATAGTGTGATTAGAATAAGAGTGTGAGGTAACTATGATGTGTATGAAGTGAACCGGAGAATGGCTGTGCAGCTGTTTATTGTAAGTGCATGAGAATGGTGTTTCATTTATTATTTTAAACAACTTCAGAATATAAAATAGGTGACAATGGGAACAATGAACTAGCTCTAATTGCAGATTTTGTGAATGGCAAAATGATCATTCACAGGGTTAAGATAAAAGAAGCTTCCTTTAACTCACTTGCATTACTGTATGAGGTAATATCTTTCATTTTAGACACTTAAGCAGTCCTTTTTATCCTTAAATTTTTGTATACTCTAATCATACAAAATACTATTTTATTAAAGAAGAGATTTTGGTTTTTTTAAAACATCTATTTACTGCCTGCAAGAAACCTATTTTATGTTTCACACATAGAATAACCTATTTTCCAGTGATCTTTAGGCACCACGTATTTGCTATGAATATTGACCTCAGAAGTTTGAATTGAAAAGAGCTTACATTGTCATGGGGGAAATTGTAATATCAAAAGATCTGGTTAAATAGTAAAATTATTTATGCAATATCTAAGTTTGGTGCGTCTGCTTAGTGATAATATTTTTACTTTTAACTTAAGTACCTAAAAATAAGTGTCCATATTGAAAAAGAAAATCCTTTTATCCAAAAATAAGAGGTATCTTTGTACACGTATCATAGTGCAGAACTATGTGAAGAGGCATCAATGCATCCACAGCTCAGTGCAGAAGGGGGAACATGGAAATTTAAAATCGATGCCCTTTAGCCTCCCTGTAAGTTACAGCCAGTTATTACGCTTTTTAGACCTTCTCGGACAACCTTAATGGGTCATTCAAAAAATAAAATAAATTTTTTGTTCCAAGTTAACTGTTATTATTAAAGCCTCAAACTTAGGTATCTGGCGTTGTCGGTAACAACCCATTATGCAAACCTTCGCGGTTTACTGATTTTAAAAGATCAGTCATATATAGATAGTGTTTTCTGGGCCGATATTTAAGGAATAAGGTCAATCGTTCCCGCAGTCATTCCATCAGGCTCATGTACGAAAATTAGAAACGTTGAGTGTATACGCTACAAAACTGGAGTCAGAGAAATGAATTGCACAGGGAAAGACAAGTATTACGTGTCACGTTGGAATCGGCAGAAAATGCAAGGGGAAAGGAACGGATCCACAGCTTGGGGAAGCAGCTGGACGGGACTCCTTTCAGCCTTTCACAGGCAAAGTTTGCAGTTAAGTGAGCTGGAGCAGGTTATGCAGCAGCCGCGTGTCTGGGTGAGCTCCGGTTCGCAGGCTCCCGGGCGCGGCGGGAGCAGAAGTGCAAAGACAGCCACGTTCGTCCGCCGCAGCTCGCGAAGATGAGACTTCGCGCCGCACACCAGGCTGGCCAGGGCTGACCAAGGGGATCCCAGAGGCTGCCACGTTCCCTTTCCCCTGCAGCTACCATCACCTTGCAGGCCGGGAGTCCTCCAATTAATTTTCTTTCGGGTCTCGACTGAGATTCAAATATTCTCTGCCCCGACCTTTCGCTATCCGCCCTCTCCGCCCTTCTTGCCAGTGTCCCCGCCAGCAAAAGCTTTTAGTGGCAGCACCGGGCGTGCTGTCCGCTTAACGCGCTAGGGGAACCTGCTGGCCCGTGTTCCCTTCCGAGAGGCGACCCTGCGTCTCAGGCCTTCGTCCTCGGGTTGACTCTTCTATCTCTGCATTTTGGCCCTTCCATTTAGAAAAGCGAGTACGAACTGTGCGCGCACAGATGAGTAAGGGTCCCCCATCCGCCCGCCGCGGTGCCCAAGGCTTCCTGGAGCGGCGCCTGCCTCCCCCGCCCCTGCCTGCCTCCAGAAGCTCCCTCACTCGCCAGACCACCAGCCCTCGCCCGTTCGCTCCCCCGAGTGGCACTGAGCTACCGCCAGCAACGCCCGCGCCCGCCTAAAGCGCGCCGGCGCTTCCCTCCCGGGCCGGACCCTGCTGGGCATGCTCTGTGCGCCTCCTGGAACCCAGCTCTCTCGGGGCCAGGATCAGTTCTCCGTGTTTTCGCGGCTGCCGAGAGGGCGCTGAGGAGGGGATGTTACAGACAGTCAGCGCCTTGTTCGGCGCCCCCTCCCTCGCGTCCGGCTGCGGCCGTCCGCACCGCAAGATGCGGGCCAATCGGTTACCGGGGGCGGGGCTTCGGCCGTCACGCCCTCCCTCTGGGCTTATTGAGAGTTATATCAAGAAATTCAGTTCAGAGAGAGGAGAGAGAGGAGAGGGAGAAGGAGAGAGGGGCAGAGGAGAAGCGACAGAGGGAGAGCAAGCAAGACGGGAAGAAGCGCCCCAGAGTCCCTGAAGCCAGAAAGAGATAACTCATTAGGAATTTTTCGGGCAGCTGTCACCCGGGAGAGCAGCCAGAGAATCACCATCATCCCAACTCTGACGTTTTCTACAAGAAGTTAGAGACTTAAGCAGTACTGACATCGGAAGGAATGGTATGCTTGATGCTGTGGAAAATACCCCTGAGCTGAAGAAGTGCAACTGGATGTTGTATGTGTTAAATACCAGAAGAGCCCAGACCCCGTGGGTAATAGAGACGAAATGTGGGGAGAATAACGACAAATCTGTGAATTTGTTTTCCGGAGTTGCTAATTTGCCAGCCCGAAGCAACACATTTCACAAGGAGGAAACGTTTTGCTGCTTCTGATTTCTCCCCAAACCAGATGCATGGCTTTCTATGTGTTGGAACAAATCATTCCTAACTGCAGCATACCAGGAAAGGGGAAAGGTTGAGACAACTAACGTAAGTGTAAAGTTTCGCATGCACAATTGTAAATTCTGTGTTTAGATATGTCCTCAGTGTAGACGAGGGATGTTTGTAATTGGGTAGACGGTTGGGGCAGAGCTCACCTACTAGGATGTATCTGCATCCCTACCTGCATCACTCTGCCGGAACTAATCACGGGCATCAGCCACCGTGCAGCCTAATGCAGATAAGATTAGAGCCTGGGAACTGACCAGTTCTACTCAAGTGGGTAGCTGCCTGGAGCCTTGCACCCATTTAAATTGCAGTTAGGGGAGCATCTAAGCAGAAGTCTTTTAACCTGCATTATTGGGTTGCAGTATTTATGTGTGGCAGATGTTACTAATATTATAACCAGAGATCAGGGTTAAGAAACTGCATTTTTATTCTCCTCTTTTAGGCTCTGTAGAAAATATTGTGCTGTTTGTTACATGGAAATATTACTGCGTTTCACTTACATCTCAACACTCTCTTCCACCTCTCGGATAAGGAATTCTATACTATTATTTTGTAAAGTTTTAATGTGTTTATTAATTCCAATGGGGGGTAATTTGACAATGTGGAGAAATGAGAGCAAGGTCTGGATTTAAAAAAAAAAAATTGAAGTCTTGGTGTTGTGCTTTTAGGCAATGAGAATCTGTAGTGGCCGGAGACTATTGCTGCTGATGCTGCAGCAGCATGTCCGATGCTTGTTTCCCAGTGAGATTGTATTAGAAGGCAGTTAAAGAACTGGGAGGAAAGAAAAAGGTAGTCTTTTTAGAAAAAAAAGAGATGAGTCAATGTGGCAGAGAAGAAAACACATCACAGTTGGCATGTGACAAAGCAGTTAGCAGGAACCACAGCTAAATACTTAGTGTTTTTCACTTGCACCTAAGGGGGGGGGAAAAAAAACTAAGGAAGGAGGGCTAGAATCCAGGAGACAGGTAAGCGGGGGGGAGGGGAAGAGAAGAACAAGGATGCAAGAATGCACGTTTTGAATTAAACAGTGTCCTGAAAAACAGTGTGGGTGAACACAGGTAAAAATAGCAGCTGTCCTGAATTCTAAAGTAGATATTTTCATTTTCTGTGGGCAAATGCAACAAGCAGGGGATACTGAGTGTTTTTAACTCTGTGGAGAGTTAACTTGCAAACAGTGGCAGGGCAAACTGCCATGTTTACTAATATGCAGTGGAAAATGTGTTGTGATATTTCGTGACTGTGTTTTTGTTTACTGAAGAATAATATTATCTATACAATTGTGTTGACAGTGGCTGTCTCCAAATAAACGATGAGATGTAATGCATCCTCCAGTCCATGCGCGCTTCCTCTTGCAATTTGTACATCATTCCTCAGTGGAAACCTTTAAACCCTAAAATTCAGGAAAAGAAAATAAATACCTTATCATGGACCTGAGGGATTTTTACCTGTTGGCTGCTCTGATTGCCTGTTTAAGGCTGGATTCCGCAATAGCTCAAGAACTTATTTACACTATTAGAGAGGAATTGCCTGAAAATGTGCCCATAGGAAACATACCAAAGGATCTGAACATTTCTCACATCAATGCTGCCACGGGGACCAGTGCCAGCCTTGTCTACAGGCTGGTTTCTAAAGCTGGGGATGCCCCTTTGGTGAAAGTATCCAGTAACACTGGGGAAATTTTCACAACTTCTAATAGAATAGACAGAGAAAAACTCTGTGCTGGAGCCTCTTATGCTGAGGAGAATGAGTGTTTCTTTGAACTTGAGGTGGTGATCCTCCCCAATGATTTTTTCAGGCTGATCAAAATAAAAATAATTGTTAAGGATACCAATGATAATGCCCCCATGTTTCCATCTCCTGTCATCAATATTTCCATTCCAGAAAACACTTTGATCAACAGCCGCTTTCCAATCCCATCAGCAACAGATCCTGACACAGGCTTCAATGGGGTACAGCATTATGAATTGTTAAATGGGCAGAGTGTTTTTGGACTGGACATTGTGGAAACTCCAGAGGGAGAGAAGTGGCCACAATTGATTGTTCAGCAAAACTTGGACAGAGAACAGAAAGATACCTATGTGATGAAAATCAAAGTAGAGGATGGAGGCACTCCCCAGAAATCCAGCACAGCCATACTGCAGGTCACAGTGAGCGATGTGAATGACAACAGGCCAGTGTTTAAGGAGGGCCAAGTGGAGGTCCATATCCCAGAGAATGCTCCTGTGGGCACCTCTGTCATTCAGCTCCATGCCACCGACGCTGACATAGGCAGTAATGCTGAAATCCGGTACATTTTTGGTGCCCAGGTCGCCCCTGCTACCAAAAGACTCTTTGCTTTAAATAACACTACTGGGCTGATTACAGTTCAGAGGTCCTTAGATCGGGAGGAGACAGCCATTCACAAAGTGACAGTGCTGGCTAGCGATGGCAGCTCCACTCCTGCTCGAGCAACTGTTACCATCAATGTTACTGACGTAAATGATAACCCTCCTAACATAGACCTCAGGTACATTATAAGTCCCATCAATGGCACGGTGTATTTATCTGAGAAAGATCCTGTCAATACCAAGATTGCCCTCATCACAGTTTCAGATAAGGACACAGATGTGAATGGCAAAGTGATCTGTTTTATTGAAAGAGAGGTCCCATTTCACTTGAAGGCAGTATATGACAACCAATATTTGTTAGAGACCTCCTCTTTGTTGGACTATGAGGGCACCAAAGAATTCAGCTTTAAAATTGTTGCCTCTGATTCTGGGAAGCCCAGTTTAAATCAGACTGCCCTGGTAAGGGTTAAGCTTGAGGATGAAAATGACAACCCACCAATTTTCAACCAGCCTGTAATTGAGCTGTCAGTTTCTGAAAACAACCGACGTGGGTTATACTTAACAACTATTAGTGCCACAGACGAAGACAGTGGGAAAAATGCAGACATTGTGTATCAGCTTGGACCGAATGCCTCTTTCTTTGATCTGGACAGAAAGACTGGAGTTTTGACAGCTTCCAGAGTCTTTGACAGAGAGGAACAAGAGCGATTCATTTTTACAGTAACTGCCCGGGACAATGGGACCCCTCCCCTCCAAAGCCAAGCGGCTGTGATAGTTACTGTTCTGGACGAGAATGACAATAGCCCCAAGTTTACTCATAATCATTTTCAATTTTTTGTGTCTGAGAATCTGCCAAAGTATAGTACTGTGGGGGTAATCACAGTGACAGATGCAGATGCTGGCGAGAATAAAGCTGTGACTCTTTCCATTCTAAATGATAATGATAATTTTGTGTTGGATCCCTATTCTGGAGTCATAAAGTCAAATGTCTCATTTGACAGAGAGCAGCAGAGTTCCTACACTTTTGATGTCAAAGCCACTGATGGAGGACAACCACCCCGGTCCTCTACGGCAAAAGTAACTATCAATGTCATGGATGTCAATGACAACAGCCCAGTTGTCATTTCTCCACCTTCTAACACTTCTTTTAAGTTGGTGCCCCTCTCAGCCATTCCTGGCTCCGTGGTAGCAGAAGTTTTTGCAGTGGATATCGACACTGGCATGAACGCTGAACTTAAGTATACGATTGTGAGTGGGAACAACAAAGGCTTGTTTCGAATTGATCCAGTCACAGGCAACATCACCCTGGAAGAAAAACCTGCGCCCACTGATGTGGGCTTGCACCGTTTGGTGGTCAACATAAGTGACCTGGGCTACCCTAAGTCTCTGCACACGCTTGTGCTTGTCTTTCTTTATGTTAATGACACTGCTGGAAACGCCTCCTATATCTATGACTTGATTCGCAGGACTATGGAAACACCATTGGACAGGAACATAGGGGACAGTAGCCAGCCCTACCAAAATGAGGACTATCTCACCATCATGATCGCCATCGTTGCAGGCGCTATGGTGGTCATAGTCGTGATCTTCGTCACCGTTCTGGTGCGCTGTCGCCATGCATCACGGTTCAAGGCAGCTCAGAGGAGCAAGCAAGGGGCCGAATGGATGTCCCCAAACCAGGAGAACAAACAAAACAAGAAAAAGAAAAGAAAGAAAAGGAAGTCTCCCAAGAGCTCCCTTTTGAACTTTGTGACAATTGAAGAGTCCAAACCCGATGACGCAGTCCACGAACCCATCAATGGGACAATAAGCCTGCCGGCTGAGCTGGAGGAACAAAGTATAGGAAGATTTGACTGGGGCCCAGCACCTCCAACCACCTTCAAGCCTAACAGCCCCGACCTAGCCAAGCACTACAAATCTGCTTCTCCGCAGCCTGCTTTTCATCTTAAACCAGACACTCCAGTTTCTGTGAAAAAGCATCACGTGATTCAGGAACTCCCTTTGGACAACACCTTTGTCGGGGGTTGTGACACCCTTTCCAAACGCTCTTCCACTAGTTCAGATCACTTCAGTGCCTCAGAGTGCAGTTCCCAAGGAGGCTTCAAGACAAAGGGCCCCTTACACACCAGACAGGTAAATGAGCACTTTTACTGGTCTATAAGTACTGCATACAAGTGCCCAGTCAACCAGTATTAACGTGCCAGTGTGTCTATTGTTTTGGTCTAACTTTAGCTTAGTTATAAAGAGGGAAAAAAAAACTTGACCCCTTTTTTCTTCCTCTGGGGCTCAGTCAAGAATTTTTAGAACAGCTTTGAAATCTCTGAGTTCTGAGAATTATTGAACTTCCCAGTTTCCTTCAAATGGCAAAAGATGAAAAGAGGAAATTATTCCAAAATGTCCCAAGATAATGTTGGCTGAAGAAAAAAACCTGTCCAGATATGCCAAATTCTGCCCTGGGGTTTCCAAATTGACTGCTTCATGATTTTCCCATTATCTTTTGATCTAAAAAGTCACCTTCAAATCTCAAATATTAAATGACGTTTGAAGGTCTGACTATACTCATGTTGGAGCTGTGGCTACTAAAGGGGTTAAATTTTTTTTAGTCTCTAAACAAGATAGTAGAATATTAAATGTACATCAGCTGTGAAGCACATGATCATTGATAGATTGCAAGTGAGCCATATAGGAAGTCTTCATTTTTATTTCAATTGATTTTATTGTAATATAGTAAACTGGGTATTAAATAGAAAGGTTTGTAGATTGTCCACAGTGGCCAAAGTATTCTTGCAAAGAAAAAAAAAAAAGGAAAAAGAAGGAATGCTTTCTCCCTTATCTAACTGATTTATACAGAAAAGAATGAATCCATTGTAAATATTCTCTCATCTTAGTAATGCATAAGTGATCTGTCATAACTCATTTTAAACTGTGAAATATGCCATATGAAGAGGGATTAAGAGGCTGAGAAACTCATATTTCAACCAAATCCAGAATTAGTTTTTCTTAGGTATAATAATTCCTTGTTAATAAAGATTTAAATGCAGCGCTGTCTAATTTATTTCACTGGTGCTTGTCTGTTGCCACAAAATTTGAGTGTCAATAATAGCCTGTAGATGGCACTAGGGTATCATGTCACTTGTGCTGGCCAGGTGCCAATCCCGGCAGTAGCAGGGAAACGGGGGGGCGGGGAGGGAAGGATCAAGCTGGTACTACAGCCAAAGATACCTTTTATTTAATGATAGTTGCTCTGGAGCAACTAGCATTTCAGTTCATTTGCTTGTTCTTTTGTGATTAGCTCTTACATCACCACCTTTTCCAGGATTTCACAATCCAAGTTCAATCTTTGTTGGTACTCAGTTCATCTATGGTGGTGGAACATCTGAATTTGTTAAAAAATAAGGAAAACACAGATTTCAGAAAATCCAGTAAAGCAAAATAAATTTGCAGGTAGTATTTATTGGCAGTCATTGATTAGTGATTGAAAATTCAAGAGTTTCCCCTCTTTGTGTGTGTGTATGTGTATGAGTGAGTGGAGTCGGGTAGAATGTCCTATTGAAACTCCATTTCCTTCTCACCTTCTAGTGTTTATTGCTCTGGAGTGACTTTAAGATTTCGTGGTAATGAGATATTTATAAAAATAATTTTGACACTGAATCACATAGATACTCCCAGGTCATTAAGTTTAATGCCTATGATTATACAATTAAAATGTCCACTTCTTAAAGAAAAAGAAAATACCGAGGACAATTTAAAAGCATACTTAGAGCCTGAGTGCACAGAATGAAAGGAATTAAAGAGTCAGTAGAGAAGTTCTAGAAGAGAATGTGAAGTTATTAGATATAAGTTGAAGTTGGAATGACTTATTTTCATGTTAAGTTTGTCAGTTTTTTAAAAAGAAGCTAAAGTTTTAAAATTTAGAACATTTCTGAGCTTACGAAAGGCTTATAAAAGTTGGTAAATAGTTAATGATGGTAAGAAAAGTCATTTATGAAGTTAAATATATTTAAGTATAATGTATTTTAATAAAAAGAAAGAAAATGGCTTTTTTATGATTGACATTTATTGTGAAGGTCACTCACAATATATAGATGATATTATATGACTTGCATAATACCTTGAAAAAACTAGCATGATTTAAACTCTTCATATAAAACCAGAAATTTGTTTTCCAAAGAGACATACTAATATTCTTCTTACATCATCTTACAAATCCACTTTTTTTCTGACTTTTCCCCAGAAGTTGAAATTATAGTAAAGTGGCATGAATGTTAAGTGCATTTTAGCAAAGTATAGCAAAGATCTTTTGTTGAGTCTTACTTAAAGAATATTTGTTTGTATGATGTAATCTTTGAAATAGGATGCTGAGTAATTCTCTAACTGGAACTAAAGTGCAATTTAGACATTCCTTGAGACTATGTGTCACTGTGCAGTTCTCTTTGTAGGCATTTTGGTGTTCATATGTAGGTATAATTCACTCTTATGATAAAGAGCTATTGTAATGGCTTTGCTTATACCTTTTAGAAGTTTTCATGTTGAGAAAGAAAAATTGTGATGTTGGAGAAAAGGAATATTGGGAGTAAGCAAAGGTGACGGTGATAGCAACATGTACAATTTTAGTATGAAGAGGTGTATTTTCTATGACTGAGATCATAAATTATATACCACTCTTCTAATTTTTCCCACGGAACTATATGATTGTTATCCGAAGATGTTCTTATTACACTAAAAAGTGAAAATTCTTTTTTTAGCTCATTCACTTCAACTGGTGGCTTTTATTCTAAATGTACTCCTGAAGCTACACAATTTTGAAAAGTGGGGTTTATTACCACAAAAGCTTTTAAAGGAATTGGTAAGCTAACATGTAAGCTATGAAGATTTCAGCTGAGTAGGCACAGACTGGGTTAAATTTATGTGGGTGACATGCAAGACTCTTGAGTAAGGGTTACCAAACTTAAATATCATTCATTTGTGTTGTCTATACAATGAATACATAATGTCTGACATTTACACTGTGAGCTTGTTTGGAGTACATTGATTCTTATTTTGTGTTTTGTTTTGTTTTTTTTCCTCTGCTGTGTCCCCTTGTATGACCCGGCTAAGGTCCTCTGAAACAACTGTAAATCACATTCCTCATCCTATTTTATTTTATTAAGCTTTTTTATTAAGTCTATTTTATTAAGCTTTCATTTTCCTTACATATAACAAACCTGTCACTGAATTGTCCACAGACTATTTTTTTTCTCAATTTTTGGAAGTACCCTCAGCATCCATAGATTGAATGTAGTTTTCTTTTTTCAAAGTAAGATTGTATCTTGGTATTTATTTGTAAATAAGCAAATTTCATTGTTATAGGGTTAAGAACATAGCATGATTAATTCCAGTAGGACATTAAATAATAATGTGCATTGTGTATTTTTCTCTAAAATAAAAAGATATTCTTAATGAATATGATTTTTAAAATATGATACTAAGTTCTCAAATTTTAGGCTTTTTTAGAATCAGCTGGAGGGTTTCTTAAATCAGGTTGTTGGGCTCCATGCCTAGAGGCTCTGATTCTCTACCACTGGGGTCGAGCCTGAAAATGTACATCCCTGACGAGGGCCCTGGGTGACGCTGATGCTGTCAGGTGAGGGACCAGACTTTGAGAACCGCTGCCTCAGCAAATCAGAGCAAGAAAAGTCAGCTTGTTTCCCTTTCAGATTATCATTTCTAGAGGACCTGTTTTTCCACAGCCCAACTCCCAGCTCTCTATTGACAGCCGTTTATTGTAGCTGGAGGCTTTATAGTAAGCTGTTTATTTCTGTTTCCCAACCCAGCTGACGAGTTTAGGGAATTAATTTTCTTGCCCTCAGTGTGTTTTTTTGTAGGGGTATAAATGAAAATGTTAAAGAAAAAAAAAAAGTGACCTATTTACATTTGACAACTTCTTCCAGTAATGGAACAATCTAATAGTTGAACTAGAATTTCATTCTATATAAAGTCATGTTTAATTTTCTAAATGAAATGCTCCTTTTAGAGCTTAAACATCTTTACTTTACTTGTCACAATCTAGAGTATTTGCTCAAAAACACATTTGTGTACATAAAGCATTTGCTCAAAAATACATTTGTGTATATATTGAAGAAATTTTACATTGATAATGTGTATGCATGCTGTACTCATTGTATACATGTACTTTTGCAGTATAAAGGGAATTGCTTCTATTCCCAATCATTTAGAGGTATATATTACATTTATGATTACTTTTCATTTTTGAGTAATCCCACTACAACCACTACTGAAACGCTGTTATGTCATGTAAAATGCACAAGACAGTCATAGAATTGCTATTTAGAACTGTGAGAAAGAAAAATGCAATTGAAAGTGAGGAAGGAAAATGTTAACTAATGTGAAGCTAGCAAAACTTTAAGATATTTTAAACTACTAAGTTTTGCAGTGTACTGTGATTGTTGAAAACCGGTGGCATTTGGAGAAAAATTGCTCCCCAAACTACAAATTATATTTAAAATGTTACCAGTTGTGATTTTTATTTCTACTCCTTCTCCTTGGCTAAGTGCTCTGTGATCATGAAATCTGTTTATGAGACAGAGGACACTCAGACCCCTTGGATAATAACTGAGGAATTTGAATTCAAATTCCTACCTTTCAAATTGGCTACCTTTCTTATTGGGATTGTGAAACAGATATTTGATAATTTTTGCAGCTTGATATACCTAAGCTGTACAACTTAAGGTACAGTTCAGCATTTATTACTAATAACCTTAAGGAGGGTAAAAATAAAATGTTGCCACAGTATTAAGCATAGACATGTCTATAGATTCCTGAACATGTATTAACAGAGATAATATAAATTTATGCAGTTAAAATATTCTATTACCCTGTTTTCTAAATTCTGTTGCAATTGTTTCTATATATAGAAACACTGTAAACTGATGTTCCCTGAGTTTCAGATGAATCATCCTTATAGTGTCACAGAACAGGCTTTGGTATCATTATAATTGCCTTGTACACATTGCACTTGAAATAAGTTATATTCTTATGGTATATGCATAGTCTTATTAAATATTCAGCTTCTCATAAAAATACAAGTTAAATTAAAATACATGAAATAGTAAAACAGAAAATCTAGATTTAATGCAAAACTTCACATCTAAAATGATACTTTTTCATAACCATTTGTAGATTGTTTTGACTCTTGA